AGCTTATGCTCAAATAAATTTGTTAGTCACTAAGGTGCCACAAGTACTCCTGTTCTTTTTACAACCATCTCAGTTTCCCCCCTGCTCCCCCCCAGTAAACCAAAGAGCCCTCGGGAAAAGGAAAGGATGAGAGAAGTGTGAATATGCAGAAGCAAGGCTCTCAAAGAACCAGTTACTGCTCCTTCTGAGGTGGCCTGTGCATGGTCCCACTTACAGGAAGCTGGGTTGTGGCGTTCACATTAAACAAGGACTGCTCTCCTGAAATATTAGAGTTAAACACTATGTTGAGAGAGAGTAGTACTGAATAAAGGCATAAATAGAACTACAAATAGCAGACCTATAGATCTCTGATGGAAATAATAGAGGCATGCCATCGATACTACTTTAGTTCTGGGAGAGTGAGCCTTAAGTGAGTCCTTAGTAAGACCTTCAGGTACTAAGACTCACCCCAGCTAATGTGCCTCAACCATTTAGTTGACTACTATTGCATGGACATTTGCTGCAGTTCTGATCGCAGCATCAGATATTTCTGAAACTATAAACTTTGGCTCCAATTGTTTGGCCTTTTATCAGTTACACACACCTCTGTGGAAGACCTCCCATTTGAAGGGAAGAATCTCTTTTACCTGAAGATGGATGAAACACTAGAGAAAGAGAAGAATACCAAGACCACCGCCAGTGTTTGGGCTTCCTAAAACATGACCGGAGGACGAAGACTTACACTTCAGCCTCCTACCAGTGCCACAGTCATCATCTTAAGTCCACTGGATTTCTACCACCTTTAGTACCAGAAAGGGCAGCCTCTTCAACAAATGAAGTAGGGAAATAGGAAGCACTTCATATATCTGCTTTATCATTGACTATTCATATGTTTTCCCTGTTTGCAAGACCTCAGACGTGGCATGTTACCTCAGAGTTCAGAGCCAGTTTAACATCTATTTCACTCCCTTCCTCTCTTCCCTTTGTGGATCCTTTCATTCATTTCTTTGCAGCATGGAGTGTAATTTCTATTCACTGCTAGTTGCGAGAGGTGATTTGGCTAACATATATAAAACCAATCCACTCTATGAGCTTGTCTACACACTGACTTTGTCCATACCAACTGGGCTGTAAATTCTAATGCACACCAGCATGTTGTGCACTACCTAGCCTATGTGGATCCTGCTGGCACACGCTAAAAGTTCCCAAATGCGCATTCATGTAGTCCTGTTTCTGACAGTACTATGTTAATGTGCAGTAGGGAACTTTTAGCGCGCCAGCAGGGTCCACCGCCTTTAGAATTTACACTCCAGCTGGCATGGACTAAGGCACCATGTATTTGAGCGTTATGCTGCCTACCAACCACCCATTTCCATCCCTTTTAGGGACCTCTGGTTTCTGATCTGTCCAACAGATTTCTTATCCTGATTTCCCTGACAATGAAGCCAAAAATGATCTGATGCTGGATCCAGGGACCAGGCCTCCTCCATGAGGAAATCTTGGACCCTCTACTGCCAATCTAAGTAGGCCTGAGTTGTGAAGCTGCAGATGTTTAGAACAGTGAGTGTACATACTGGCCTCCAGAAACAGAGGACCATGAACTATACCATATATACGATATCTGCCCTTCTCCAGTTCCTCAGGAACCAGATCAGCCAAAAGTCACAGAAACAATTATTGAAACATGGAAAAAGAGGAAAAGGAAATTCTGGTTTGGGGTATTACCACCTCCTCCACTCACACCCTCCCAAAATTAACTGAACCAGAGCCATACTGAATGCTCTAATGTCCACACTTGGCCATGGAAAAAGAATTGAATGAAGCAGTTAGAGCCACACAGTCCTTTTATAATCTGCACTCTGACTGTTCAGTGGTGTGAGGGAGCTTACGCAGCCCCAATGGGCACAGCTTTACAGAATGTTCCAGAAGCTTTGCAGTGCCAGGGCACACATCCCAGAAGTGTGAACACAGAGGCCATCTTGAAGAAGAGATAAAATTTTAACAAGCTGTCACCTCAATAAGAGTGCAGTGTAACACAGTATGTGGTTCAGAGGAGTGACTTAACCAGATGGCTTGTATTTCAATTTTCATTCAGCACATATGTGCGCCCTAGATTTTGTGGAAGTCTTATCTCTACTTCATTAAAAACGTTCAAATCTAAGAATGTAACAGCAAACCATAACAGTGCACATATCCCTTGATACAACATTTTGTATAAAATGTACCACAAAATAACCAAGATGTACAGCAAAACCAAAAATCTTCACAAAATCATTTTAGAATAGTCTAGCAAGTGACCAGAAACACTCCCACATAATTGCAACATATAACTTCACTTACATAGCCAACATCAGGTCTGTAACACGTATAGGCGCCTAAAATACTGTGCAATGTGTCATGGTAAGGACCACCCTATAATGAAAAATAAAAAATTAATCATACAGCTTCTGTAAATATTCACAATCTGTGAGAAACTCCTAAGTTGTGTAGAGGATTTAGGGAATGTCTACACAGCAAAGAAAAACCCACAGCTGGCCCGTGCCACCTGACTTGGGCTCAGGCTCAGGCTTTGGGGCTGCTTCATTCCTGTGTAGACTTCTGGGCTCACAAGATCCTAGTGCCTGGGCTCCAGCTGGAGCCCAGAAGTCTACACAACAATGAAACAGCCCTGCAGCCCAAGCCCCGTGAGCTTGAGTTGGCTGGCATGGGCCAGCCTTGGGTTTTTCTTTGCTGTGTAGACATACCCTTAGACACATATTCCATTAATTTTAATAAAAGAGGTTTCCAAATCCCCAGTGGTTCTCAAACTGTGGACTGGGACCTTAAAGTGGGTCGCCACCCCATTTTAATGGGGTCGCCAGGGCTGGCCTTAGACTGGCTGGGACTCAGGGCTGAAGTCTGAGCCCCACTGCTAGGGGCAGAAGCCTGAGCTCCACCACCCTGGGCTCAGGCTTCAGCAGTGGTGGGGCTCAGGTTACAGGCCCCCCCTGCCCAGGGTGGTGGGGCTTGGGTTTTGTCCCCCCGCCCGGAGCAGTGGAGCTCAGACAGGCTTCAGTCCTCCGTCTTGGGGTCATGTTGTAATTTTTGTTGTCAGAAGGGGGTCACGGTGCAATGAAGTTTGAGAACCCCTGCCCTAGACTGCTTTGAAAAAAATTTTTAAACTCTTTCAACTTTTATATGGAATGCATCACTGTAATGTCACTAAGGAACATCTTCCCACACCTATTTATTCCAAATGCATACAGTTCATCCAACAGGTTAACGACCAAAGTGCAAAAGGACATAAGCATTAGAAATTCACTACAGCTTTATGAATTGTTACATATTAGTATCAAGAAAGCCGAACACTAATCAAGTTGGTTTAGCTCTATCTATTAGACTAGCAGTAGGGTTGAGCCATGAAGAAAGGGATAGCAAGAACAGTCGCAACATATTAAGGAGGATTCCCATAAAAACTATGCTAATTTCAAGTCCTGAGAAGTCTTACAAGTTGCCATACATTACACTGAGCAGTCTTAGACTCTGCTGAAATCCTTTATACTTGTCATTCAGGAACACCAGACATTAATTTTACCACAAACTACTCATACATTTAAATACCAACATGCAAGTTTGCACTAAAGAAGACTTC